TTCTTTGCAATTTTTTTTTATTTATTTATTTTCGTAAAATAGTTATTAGTTCCTTGGACCCGGTTAAACTCCGAACAAGTGATTTTTTTCATTTGCTTTATATAATTATAAGTGTTTCGATTTAAAAAATAAATATTTTTTTATAAAGGTGCTGTTATTTTTTTATAAATATATTTTTTATAAAAAGTCATAGTTTTTTTTCAAAATTTATTTTTTTTTAAATATTTTTTATGAAAATTTTAAGTTGTAGTTTTTAGTTTAATTTGAGAAATTGGGTCTTTTTTATAGGAAGTTTAGGTTTTTTTTATAAAATACATTTTCTTTTTTGTTTGACAAATTTCGTTCGATTTCTCTTTTTAATGTTTCAAATAATTATTAAATACTAAATTGCTTTTGTTGTTATTTTTAGTAGGTAATTTCTTACTTTTTTTAAAATACAGTTTTGTTGTTGTATTAAAAAAGAGTTAAAGGTTAAGGAGGTTTTAAGTCATTTTTTTTTAAATGGTCTTATCTTTTAAGCAATTTATAAAAAATCGAAACAAAATCATAATAGACGATCAATGAGTTTTTTTTTTGAAATATCGTTTTGTTGATTGTTAATCTATATTAGGATTTTTTATTAGTTGTTATTTCTCTAATAAAGATTGTCTTCGTCTTCTACAAATATAATTTGAGTTTTTTGTTTTTGTGGAGAGAGTTTTTGGGTATATTTTGAGAAGGATTTTTTTATTTTTAAGTAGAACTGAAGATTTTCAATTTTTTTGTGTTTTCAAAAACAATGTATTGCCAAATTTTTAGGGGCTATAAAATTTGCAATAGATTGTTTTTTTTCAATTAATTTGTTTTTTTTCTTATGTTTCTTTTTTCAAACAAGCAAAAAATACCTTAAATAATATGGTAATTAATTATTTTAAATGATTTTTTTAAATATTTCTCTTCTCTTCTTCATTTGAAGGAAGTCAAATTAAAAAAATATATATTTTTAATTTTTTTTAAATTGAGTTTCTTCCCTATTTTTTTTATAATTTCTGGCAGATTTTTTTTTTATTCTTTCCAGTTTTATTTATCAACATAAGTTTGAAACATAATTTTTAGGGAATTTTTAAATCTTATTAATTATTATATATTTTTTTGGAATAAAAATGAGTGGGTGTGTGTAATTTTAGTTTAAATAAATTGTGATTTATTTTACAAATGTTTTTTTTTTATATATATTTTTGTTAATTTATTTGGTCTTTTTTTAATATTATTTATATGTTTTTTTAAGCAAGATAGGCATTTGTATTGTAAAATTGTTATATTCTTCTTTCAGAATATTTAATTTATAGTACAAATTGATATAACTCTCTGTATACGACATGACATCTTGAAAAAATATGTTTTTAAAAATCCACGTCTTTAGTTCAGCGTTAAAAATATGAAAATAAACTCTGCACGGGTGGCTTGTCTTTTAAAAAATTTACGCCGGTAACTTATCTTAAAAAAAAAATATTTTTTTAATCTCTACAAGAAAAAATATTTTTACAAGGTTAGATACTGGCGTATATTTTTTAAAATGTTTTGGCTTATATTTTTTCGAAATATTTTTGGGCTTGCGCAAGAAGAGTAGATTTTATGAAAACATTTTTTTTTACAATATTCACTGGCTTGGTTTAAAAAACATTCCCTTAAAACAATCCTAGTGGCTTGTTTAAAAATAATTTATTTCATTATAAAATCTACACTTGTGGCTAGCTTGAAAAATAATTTTTTTACAATAATATTTTGAATAAAACCTACGCCCTTAGCTTGCCAAAATAATAATTAAAAAAATGTGCGGCTTTAGAAAATATATTTATATATATCAGTGTCTAATCTCAAAAAAAAAAAAAAAAAATAAATAAATAAAAAACTCGGCTGAGATAACTGCGGCGTATTAGTTATGACAGCAATAATACGCACTGTTGTACCACCATCATTAAATTTATTTTAGATTACTTCAATTTTATTCGTATTTCTATAAGAGCTGAGTCTTTCTTTTTGATAAATGAATTTCCAGTTAAGAATGTGTTCGGGACCTCATCGATCTCGATAATTAATCGACGAGGTCCTATCAAAACACAAAACGTCAGGCTACTCTTCTTCTTGTAGTTGTAAAAAGTGGATCGCCAGATCAAGAAAATGTAACTGTATTTAATATTTCAGCAATTTAAAACAATAAATAAAAGACCGACAGAGTCAAATTTGAATTTTGAATTTAAATTATTTAAAGTGTGTTTAATTTGCTGACAACAAAAGTATCGTGTGTATACTCGTTGTATTGTTGTAGTTTGAAAATTTCATATTGTTCTCCGTCCTTGTTCAACAATAAATGTCGGCTTTAAAGCTACTCTGTATAATATTTAGAACCCGTACAAGTCCTTTCGACTGTATTGGAACTTGTACAGAAAGTTAAAAAACAAAAAGGGTGTTTTTCTGTATAGAACGCCCAGGCGAGATGCTTTCTTTAGTATGCAAAAAAAAAAAAAAAAAAAAAAAAAATCCTCATTCTCAGCTTAGGTGGATTAGTTTGAAAAAAAAAAAAAAAATAATGAACGTCTAGTTTGAACAAATTATTTTGCAAAAATATAAGGCTGAAGTTTAGCTTGAAAAATGTTTTTATTAAAACCTACGACAGTGTCCTGGTTTTTTTAAATTGAAAATGTATTTTTTTTTAATTTTAAGACCGTGAATTAATTAAATATATATATATATATTAGTTTTTTTATTTGAATCTTTTTGTGTTTCCAAAATTCAGTTGAGATACTTAAGGCGTATGAGTTATGACAGCAATAATACGCTCTGTGGTACTTTATCAATGAATCTAATGCAAAGCTTTTTTCTTATGAAAATAATTCTTCAACTGTGATAAGGTTTTTTTTTGTATAGAAACACAATTCTCAGTCCATACCAGGTAGGTTTTTTAATCTATGCCTGTGGCTTAACTCGGAAAAAATTTTAATATTTTTATGAAAAAAAAAACAAATAATGAATCTACGCGTAGTTTAAAAATTTTGAAAGAAATCTACGAGAGTGCCCTGATTTTTTTAATTGATTTTTTTTTTAATTTTATGTTTATGTTTTTTAATTTTATGTTAATGTTTCCAAAATTCAGTTGAAAAGTTGATATTCATAATGTTAAGTTTTATTTTAGTGGCGTTGCTAGTTGAAATCGCTAATGGAGTTTGGTTTGTTTCCATAATCGACTCATAAATCTTCTGATAAAGTTTTTTTGTATAGAAACAAATTTCTCAGTCCATATGAGATACGTTTTTTAATCTATGCCTGTGGCTTAACTCGGAAAAAAGTTTTAAAATTTGTATGACTGTTGATTAGTTTTAAAAAACAAATAATATTTTTAATTAATCTACACCCGATGTTTAGGTTGAACATAATATTTTGCAAAAATATATGCCTGCGGTTTAGCTTGAAAAATATTTTTAAGAAAATCTACGCCAGTGACTTAATTTTTTTAATTGAATTTTTAATTTTTTTTTAAATTTAAGATCGTGGATTACTAAACATTTTTTAAGTTAAATAATATTAGTTGTCTGTTATAGAATATTTTATTTTATTCCTTTAGGAGTTTTTTTTTCTGAAAATGTCTTGCTCTTAATTAATATTTTATTATATTTTAGGATTTTTTTTATAATAATAAAAATTAATTTTCTTTAATTCCTTTTGAGTGTTTTTCGCATAATATCAACTTCCATTTCAAAGTAATAAAATAAGGGAAAATTACCAAAATTGTATAAATCAATTACGTTGTTTATTTTTGTTAACAATTTTTAATGTTTATGTCTTTTTTCATTTATGTTTTTATTTTATTATTTTTTTTTTAATTTTATATCACAATAATCGTTTCCAAAAAATATATTTAATTTTTTTTTGCAAATTAATTAAGGGCCTTATTTTTTGTAATGAGAGCGAAATTCTTAAAGAATTTTGTTTTAATTATTAGAAAATATATTTAAAATTTGTTTATAATTATTATAATATATTATTTTTTATTAGACCATTACCTTGCTTACTTTGCTTTGAAATAACAATTTATATTTTTTTAAATTTAATTTAAATTCAAATTTTTTTTAATTACCTTAATAACTATTGAAAAGAAGATCGTCATATTTATCATACATACTATTTTTTAATTTAATTTTTATTTAAAAAAAATATTAAAATAAATTATTTCTTTTTTTATATTTTCAAATAACCTCAACTTAAATTTAAAAATGTGTATTTATTTTTTCTTCATATTCATATTATCTCCCATGTGTAAAAATCGCTCTTGGCCTTAAAAAGTAATTCAAAAAATTAAAGGAGTAAAATTATTTATTTATTAATTAAGTATTACAATTATCAATATAAATTATAATTAATGGAATGTTGTTTTTAATATTTATAAAATTTATAATTAGATTTTTTTTTTATATTTCAGTATTGTGTTTGGTGTCATAAGAAAATTGTTGGTTGTTGTTATTATTATAATTATTATTATTTTATAGAGGAAAAAACATACATCCAAATGAAAAAAATCGTGTGCATTAAATGTGGGGGAAAAATAGAAAAAAATTATTTGTTTGTCATTAGTTTAAGTTATTGTAAAGTGTTGTTGTTGTTTTTTAACTTCATCTAGCATCTACGGTGATTAATTAAATTATTTATTCATTATGGGACTACCATTTGCTTTTTCAAAAACTACAGACACAATTATTATTGAGAATTTTTAAAAAAAATTAAAAAATAATTACTATTTTACATTACACTATTTTTGTATTTGTTTTTTTTTTTTTTTAGAAATTAAGAAACTAATGATTGTTTTGTTGTTGTTGCTGATTTTCTATGTATATGTAGTATGAGTATATACTTATATATTTTTTTTAAATTATTTTTTCTAATTAAGTGGTCTTTTTGTTTGTTGCAGCAGTTCTTGTTTTAGTTGTTGTTGTTGTGTGTATTCCTATAATATTATTTGTATTAATTTGTTTCTTCTTGTTCTTCTTACTTTCCAAATATGTTGCGATTTCATTGTGATTTTTATTGAATGCCACCATCATTGCGGTATTGCCATTCATATCCCGTAATTCAACATTAGCACCGGCTGCAACTAACATTACGCACAAATCGCGTCGGCCATGTTGGGCTGCTAGATGCAAGGCTGTTTGTCCCCTGAAATTGAAGGAGAAAAAAAGAAGACAAAAAGGTAAAGTATTTTTTTCTATATAAATGTGTACAAAAAATTAAACAATATTTTTTTTTCTTTTTAGGTTCTGGAATATGTTGACTTTTGGATTTGGAATCAAGAGATAATAACATGATCTGGCTTGGCTTTATAAATAATTATACGCCTGGAACTTAGTATAAACCAGTGTCAAAAAATGTCGCTCGATGTTGCCTTAGCCTATGGTTTGCGGAGGTCTACGGAATTATACACACTGGTTTTATTATTTGTTGTATATATAGGATATAAGTTTTTATCATAGAATTGACCGGCTGAGGAGTGGTACCCGAAGAGGCTACCCCATAGACCTCATCTTTGAATTTTAAATAGGTTAGCATCAAATAACATTTACAAAATTGTAAAATTTTGATCCTTTGGTGTATTAGAAGGCCGAAAGAAACAAGGGTTTTAGAACCAATATTTTGATGAGACACTTTTTTTTATCGTATCAATGTGTTTATAGCCTCATTAGCCATATAAAAAATCTATTCTATAATATTTCTCTTAAAACCCTGCTCTAAAATTCAGTTATCCTGAAACAAGGAAAGAAACAAGGGTTTTAGAACCAATATTTTGATGAGACACGTTTTTACCGTATCACTGTGTTTATAGCCTCATTTAGAATATTATAGAATAGATTTCTATAATATTCCTCTTAAAACCCTGCTCTAAAATTCAGTTTTTAGTCAAATAAAAATTTAAACTTTGAATATTGCTTGTTTCTTGCATTTTATTAAAATACATAAAAACGACATCACTCCCTCTAACCAATAGTGAAAATTTCATTCAAATATCTCCATTCATCACCGAGTTATGGCCATTTGAAATTGACCATGTTTCAAATTATAGCTGCTACACGATTCTGTTTGCCTGGTACGGCAAATGGAAAAACTGAAGAAATTACAGTTTCTCAAAAACAGAAAAAAACTGCAGGATGTATTGCCGCCTAAAAGTATGCTCATAATTTCGCAAACGAACATGGAAACACAGAGAAAACAATCTGGCAACACACATCTGTATTTTTCTGTTTTTGTAGAATTGCAATTTCTTTGATTTTCCCATTTGCCGTACCAGGCAAACAGAATCGTGTAGCAGCTATATTTTGACACATGGTCAATTTCAAATGGCCATATCTCGGTGATGACTGGAAAGATTTGAATGAATCTTTCACTATTGGAAAGGAGAAGATATGTAGTCTTTATGAGTGTCAATAAATTATATTATATATATTAACTTGGCATTTTTTTTTAAATTTGTGCTAAAAATACCACGGGCGTATTTCTTAAAGGACTTTTTTATGTACCGATACGGTACATAAAATGCTTTTAAATATGCTTAAATGCTTTTAAATATTTTTTTTTGTAATACCAATAGAGCGTGAAAAATATTTGGTTGAGTACCAACAGTGAGAACATTTTTAGAGAATGCTTTTTTCATGTTCCAATAGAAATGTGTATTTTTATATCTTTGGTAATGATATAATATCATTTTGCTACAGTTAAAATGAGCCTCATCAAAATATTAGATTGGGGGAAAACAAACCCATTATATTATCGGCATATGGTTTTTTTTATATGGTTAGAAGGATGGCATTTTGCAGTAAAAAAATTGAAGTGAAAAAAGAGAAAATTCGGTACATTTTAAAGTTTTTCTTTGACAAAACGAAAACGCAAGCCAAGCGGCTAATTTTGTGAATGGTGTTTATGGTTCCGATACTGTAACATCCAATTATGTGCAATTTTGGTTTCGTAGATTCTGTTGAGGAATTTTTGATGTTTAAGATGCACCTCGCATCATCCAAACATTGCGCATCGTAATATTTCTCTCAAATTTAAATCGAGCTCGGAGATGAAAATGGATTTTTCATGTGCCTCTCTCACAAAAAATGGTCAAAATTTTGTTGAAAATGAATTTTCTAATATCATGCGAAGCATACTATCCGATTTGAAATAAACTATGCGCAACCTAAATACCAATCCTGGATCAACAATTTCAATTTTTATAAATCCAATATTAAGCAATCGGAGTGTTCAATTTGGTTGAAACAATGCACAGCATAACATTTCTTTCAAATTCAAATCAATTTAGATTTTGGTGAAAATCGGATCAATTCTTCTGGTAACTCCCCCAAAAAAATGGTCAAAAAATTTTGTTAAAAATGCTTTTTATAATATCACACAAACAGAGCATCCGATTGAAACAAAACTTTGCATAATCTAATACTTTAATTATACTTGTATAGTGTTGGGACTTATCCGTCCTTCTTCTTCTAGTGCCTTCCCTACAAAGGGTCCACATTTTGAAAATTTCAAAACCTTGCACATCGTTATATTTTTTACCAATCCTAGATCTATTACGGAGATGGAACCAATCGGTCCATTCCATCTGATACCTCCTCTATGAAGGGTCAAAATTGTGAGAATGTGTTAATCGAACAACAATCGTATGGAAAGTGTGATTTGATATTAAATACGCACAACATAATACATATTTTTTTTTAATTTATATAAAGTTCGAAGATGGGACCCATCGGTTCACTCCTTTGGTAACTCCCATACAATGTAATATTCCATACTTTATAAAAAAACATCAGTTATGTATTAAGCCGCCGAATTTTCAAGGGATGTATTATTTGTGTGGGGTATAGCACAGGCTGACCAAATCGGATACACTGCTTTGTTATTATTAAAAAAAAAATAATCCAAAATATTTTAGATATCTTTGAACATTCATATAATTCTAATTTTCTCTTATATAACAAGGTCAATATGTAATAAAACTTTAAAATTCCATCGACCCATTGATGCAAAATTTATGAAAATCGGTTGAGTAGTCGCTGAGTTATACTTACTGTTCGGTGCTGAGCACCTATTACCTGAAATTGAAAAACCACACTAAAATCGGTCTTATAAAAATGGAAATATAATTTTTTTCTTCCTAATGGCTACTGTGTATGAATGTACGGTTATGATACATTACATTTGTGAATAAAAACAAGCAACTATCAATTTAAAAATCGGACTACATACAGACTGTGTGTGACCTAAAAGTATGCTATAATCTTCTTTACAAACCAGCAGCCACTGCGAAAAAAATGTCAATCCATTTTTGTGTAATTTTTTAATTTCAGGTAATAGGCGCCCAGCATCGAACAGTAGGTGTATTACGGAACATTGCTGAATTCAAATGCAAATAACTCAGCAACTACTTAACCGATTTTCATAAATTTTGCACCAATGGATCGGGGGAATTCTAGAAATTTCTTCTCCATGTTGGCATTATGAAAAGGTTAAATACCCGACTGATACTTTTTTACTTGTTTTTTTTTTTTTTCATAACAGATTTTCCTCTTGGATAGTGTATAGTACCCCCCTATAGATATAAATCCGTTTGAAACCGTATCGTCAAATTCATTGCAGAAATGGGATTTCTTAAAAAAAGAAAAAAATCCCCCGTTTTCTTTTTTACGTTTATTCATTTACTTTTACTTACATTTCACGATCTTTAATATTTATTAGGCGACGCGATGCACACGATACAATATATTTAAGAATATCCTTATGATTATATTTGCAAGCGAAATGTAAAGCAGTTTGTCCGCTGCGATTAACGGATTGTAATGAGTATCCTTGTTCATGTAGTGCACGTAACTGAAATAAAAAACAATGAAACGAAAAATATTGAAAAAAAGAAAAGAAAGAAAAAGGTGTAATTGAATAAAAAGACTATAAATTAGATAAAGAAATATTAAATAAATTATAGACAGACACATAATTAATTAATAATTGTAATAAGTAAAGCAGTAACAATAATACAATAAATTAAAAAAAAACAAGTACGAAAAACAAGAAAAGATAGGGAGTGGGATTTGTTTTATGTTTTTTAAGGATATGTTTCAATTTTTAAAAAAAGGGAAGGGGTTTGAATTTTAATTTTTAACAAAAGGGAAGGGATAGGGGTTGTTTTATTTGTTATTTTATTATTTTTATTTCTTAATTTTTATCAGTTAGGAAATGTATGAAAAACATGAAAATATAGGGAGGGGATTTGTTTTAAAAATTTTTAAGGATATTTTTCAATTTGGAAAAGGTAAGGGTTTGCATTTTAATTTTTAACCAAGGGGAAGAGTTTGTCTTATTTTATATTTTAAAATTTTTATCAGTTACGAAATTTACGGGACACAACAGCAATAAGGACATACAATGGATTTTTGAAAGTGTTTACAATAAATTTGGAATATAACCATAGGGAAAGGATAATAGATTTATTTTTTTTTAATTATATTTTTATCAGTTAATGGAAATGGGGGACAAGAACAAAAATAGATTTTGGAATTTTTTTTTAATTCTTTTTTTTTTGGAAAGTGGGACAAGGGACAAAACAATTAAAATTTTGGCAATAAATTGGATATTCGAATTTTTGTAACATAAAAAAGGTAACCATATATATGTATAGTTAATAGAATACCATCAATAAATCGCCACTTTGAGCAGCTAATAGTATGGCATCGGAAGTTTGCTCCAATATAGGACTGTAGGAGGAGATTGTTGGGTAGATTTTTTTTTGTTAAAAAAAAAATAGAAAATTATATAAGAAAATAATTATTATAAATATTTCTTAAATAAATAAAAAGAAAAAATTATATAATGGTAAAAATATAATATATTAAAAAATTATATAAAATATTTGTATATAGAAAAAAGTGCATGTGCTGTGAGCTTTATTCAAATAATGTTTGTACTTATTGGCTTGAAGTCCTGGTCGCGGATCTATGTTTTACATAAAGTCATAGAATATTACTGCTTAAAAATAACAAAAAAAAATTTTAACTGCTAAATTATTTTTTAAAAATTACTCCCTATAACATGAATAAATATATTATGAAAAATTCACGAAAAATATTTATGAAAATCATCGCTTATTGTAACACTCGATTAAATATTTAGTTAATAAAAATTAAGTTGGAACTATATCGAAAACTGAACAGATTTTTTTCCGAAACTTACCACACATCTTTCTGGACTTAATTTAGTACGCTATGCTAAATTTCGTGGAAATCTAAAGATATATAGGTACTTTGGTGCACCATTTATCTTAAATCGAACGGAAATATATATGGGAGCTATATCTAAATATGAACCGATTTCCATTAAACTTAGTACGCATCATCAACGATTCAATTCAGTACGCTATGCCAAATTTCGTGCAAATCGAAAGATATATAGGGTGGTGTTTGGTTCACCATTTACATAAAATCGGGCGAAAATATATATGGAAGCTATATCGAAATCTGAACCGATTTTCCCGAAACTCACCACTCATCATTCTAAACTCAATTCAGTACGCTATCCAACATTTCGTGTAAATCAAAAGATATAAAGGCAATTTGGTGCACCATTTACCTTAAAACCGACGAAATTATATATGGGAGCTATATCTAAATATGAACCGATTTTCATTAAACTTAGCACACATCACTCTAGGCTTAATTTAGTATGCTATGCTAAATTTTGTGGAAATCGAAAGATATATAAGTACTTTGGTACACCATTTACCTTAAATCGGGCGAAAATATATAGGGGAGCTACAGTGGTGGTCACAGAATTAAAACATTTACTGTGGTAAACATTTTTTGAACAGCCCTCGACTCGTTTGAAATATTTTTGAAAAATTTTTAATTCAGAACACTTCAATATACTGCACTTAAGAGATTTAGTGCGAAAATGGAAAATTATTGCATTCAATTTTTCCATAAATAACGGGTTTTATGAAAATACATCAACTTTGAAGTGGCCATATAATTAAAACATTGTGTGATTTTTTACTTTACTGCATTTTTTGCAAATATTTTTAAAAAAGCTACTTAATTTAGTTAAATTATGTAAACTAAGCACCGATAAAATTATTTACTGATAAAAATTTTTGAAAAAATCTGTAAAATCTATCAAAATTGCCAAAAAATTTGTACAGTACACATTACATTCAGAAAATAACCCTTATTATAGAAAATAAAGGTCCGAATGCACCAGAATCACTAGAATCAGTAGAAAACAATAAATAATTCCCAGAATAAATAAATATTTGAAATAAAAACTCAAAAAATGGGAATTTACCTAAAAGAACGATTCAATTTCGATAGCCTTTATTGAAGAAGGGCGGAATATTTTTGCAGTATGTGAGGAAATATCGATTGATATTGACATTTATTATATCAAATCGATTGTTCGAGTAGTACAGAATATATTTTATCAAAAAATATACCAGTCACAACAGTAAGAACAGAGATCAACGCCTATGTTGACGAGAAAACGTTTCTGGTACACAGCAGCATGTTTGATGGTTAACTCTTGACCCTTAAAATCTATTGAACATGACAATATTTTTCAAAAATAATATTTTTTGTATAGAATAATGTCCATTTAATCTATTTTAGCCTAAAAGAAAGAAAAATTTTACAATTTGACAAATATTTAAAGTCTTGTGTTGAGCATCAAAAATGCTGCTGTGTGGCAGAAACTTTTACTCGTCAACATAGGCGTTGATCTCTGTTCTTTCTGTTGTGACTGGTATATTTTTTGATAAAATATATTCTGTTCTACTCGAACAATCGATTTGATATAATAAATGCCAATATCAATCGATATTTCCTCACATACTGCAAAAATATTCCGGCCTTCTTCAATAAAGGCTATCGAAATTGAATCGTTCTTTTAGGTAAATTCCCATTTTTTGAGTTTTTATTTCAAATATTTATTTATTCTGCGAATTATTTATTGTTTTCTACTGATTCTAGCAATTTCTGGTGCATTCGGACCTTTATTTTCTATAATAAGGGTTATTTTCTGAATTTAAGGTGTACTGTACAATTTTTTTGGCCATTTTGATAGATTTTACAGATTTTTTCAAAAAATTTTATCAGTAAATGATTTTATCGGTGCTTAGTTTAAATAATTTAACTAAATTAAAGAGCTTTTTTAAAAATATTTTCAAAAAATGCAGTAAAGTAAAAAATCACACAATGTTTTAATTATATGGCCACTTCAAAGTCGATGTATTTTCAAAAAACCCGTTATTTATGGAAAAATTGAATGCAATAATTTTCCATTTTCGCACTAAATCTCTTAAGTGCAGTATATTGAAGTGTTCTGAATTAAAAAATGTTCAAAAATACTTCAAACGAATCGAGGGTTGAACAAAAAATGTTTACCACAGTAAATGTTTTAATTCTGTGACCACCACTGTATATCGAAATCTGAACCGATTTCCATTAAACTTAGCACACATCACTCTAGGCTTAATTTGGTATGCTATGCCGAATTTCGTGCAAATCAAAATATATATAGGTACTTTGGTGCACCATTTACCTTAAATCGGACGAAAATATATTGTGGAGCTGTATCTAAATCTGAACCGATTTTCACGAAACTTATCACAAATGTTGCTGGACCTAATTCAGTGCCCTATGTCAAATTTTGCGATTATCGAAGGATATAAAGGGACAATTTACCAAAAATCGGAGGAAAATACTTATGAGAGCTATATCTAAATCTTAACCGATTTTCACGAAACTTAGCACACGTCATTCAAAACTCAATTCAGTACACTATGCTAAATATCGTAAAAATGGAAAGATATATAGGGACTTTGGTGCACCATTTACGTAAAATCGGACGAAAAATATATAGGGGTGGCTATATCGAAATCTGAACCGATTTTCACCAATTTCAATAGGGTTCATCCTTAGGCCAAATAAATGAGCTGCACAAAATTTCATTCAATTTGGATTATAAATGCGACCGGTACTTTGTTTACAATTTAACATTAACAGACGGACGGATGGACATGCATAAATAGACTCAGAAAGTGATTCTATGCATATTCTCAAAATGAACTATGGGTCTATCACGTATCCTTTTGCCTGTTACAAACATATGCATAAAGACATAACACAGTGTGATGAAGGGTATAAATACATAAAATCGATAGAGACTTTTATATGTGGGGTATACCATGGTAAATTGTTGACAGAATAAAACGAAATACAAAACTAAGTTTAGATAATAGAACTATGGCCTTGAACATGCCGAAATGTCGGGAATTGTCAAACATGGATTTGTTAAACAGAATTCTGTGAAGAAGCTGTTTTCCTATAAAGGTCCCACCCGTTATGGGGAGCTAATACTAAAATTGACCGCTTGTTCAATAGGAAAAATTTCATTGCAAAAATAAAATTATATCAAAAATAAATTATTTTGGACGGTTTTTGTGACATGAAATATAATTTTATATATGTATTTTCCATATGGAACAAAACTTTAAAATTCCCTCGGTGAAAATTTATGAAAATCGGTTAAGTAGTCACTGAGTTATTTGCATTTGAATTCAATGGTTTTCCGAAATACACCTACTGTTCGGTGATGGGCGCCTATCAACTGAAAACGAAAAATTACACAAAAATGATTATTTTAAAACAGGCAATTTTTCATCCATAATGGCTGCTGGTTTGTAGAGTAAATTATAGGTCAAAAACAGTCTGTATGTATATATTTAACCCGATATTATTAAACATGTAATTATATCTAAGCATAAATTTAATGTAACATAACCTTACATATGTAGTATATTATTAGACATGTAATTATATCTAAGCATAAATTTAATGTAACATAACCTTACATACTACATACACAGTAGTTATTACTAAGAACAAAATTTTATTTATTTCTAAGACCGATTTTTGTGTGGTTTTTCTTTTCAGGTAATAGGTGCCCAGCACCGAAGAGTAAGTATATTTCGGAACATCGTTGACTTCAAATGCAAATAACTCGGCGACTACTTAACCGATTTTAATGAATTTTTCACCAATGGGTCGTGGAAATTCTAAAGTTTTATTCCAAATTAATGCCGAAATGTCATAGTTTAGATTATAAAATATATGTTTAATAAAATAATCAATTCCTTATTATTAATCCATATATACTGAATCAGGTCTACCAAACTGCCGAGCTTCATAGATCCTTCGAATTTTCCTCATTTCTACCCTCAATTCGCATCCATAATAATTTTTATATAATTTTTGTAAATTTTATAGATGAATATGATATAATTTTTCAAATTTTTATAAGATTTTCATACGAACTATACCTGAATCCATAACCAAATACATCTTCATTGAAACTGAAGAGACGATCATGTGGGCTATTATCAAAAATTACAAAAGTTTTAGACAACGTATTTTCATTTTTTTTTCAAAATTTAACTACAGCAGAATAGTTTTTACCAAGCCTTGTGTTCTAGCAATAATACATAGGTCTAGCCTACTTTTGCCAACCTAATAATTGAATATCTGAAATGTTACCTCTTAAATTTAATGACTTTAATGGGTCGCGATCCAATGGTTAAGTCATCATCTTTAGGTTTCAAAAATCATAAAAAAATAAAAATATTTTTTTTGTTAGAATTTGAATACAGAATACTTTTTTTCATTTACTCTTCAAATGTTAATTGGTGTGAAATATTGAGCTGAAAATGCTTTGCGACACATTTATTTTGGAGTGTTTTGAAATTTATTCTACACCATTTTTTGTGAGAAAGGGAAAAATAATTGAAAAATGTTTTTCTATAGAAAAAAACAAAGAATTTTAATAGAAAACAGACGCCTCGGAGTACTAAGGAATAGAAAAGATATGTGAGGTGTCTTTTCTCTAAAGTACTCCGAGGTGCCTTCTTTCTATAGAAAAAAAATTCGGTGAGGACTCTTTTTTCTATAGAAAAAAAATTCCTTAGTTCGGTGAGGACTCTTTTTTCTATTCTCTTTTTTCTATAGAAAAAAAATTCCTCAGTTCGCTGAGGACTCTTTTTTCAATAGAAAAAAATTCCTCAGTTCGCTGAGAACTCTTTTTTTCTATGGAAAAAAAATTCCTCAGTTCGCTGAGAACTCTTTTTTCTATGGAAAAAAATTCCTCAGTTCGCTGAGGACTCTTTATTCTCTAGAAAAAAATTCCTCAGTTCACTGAGGACTCTTTTTTCTATAGAAAAAAAATCTATGGAAAAAAATCCTCAGTGCTTTGAGGTGATTTTTTTCTATAGAAAATAATCCTGAATACTTTTAGGTGTCTTTTTTGTATAAACAATTTTTACAATCCTATGTCTAAGAATAATTCCCCTGACCCTATAAAATGGTATAGAATTGTAAATCAAGTGAAAATTGTTTTTTTTCTAGCAATACCCATAGATCCAGAAGAACCTACCTATAAATCGGAGTCAAGGAGTGAAGTAGAGGTTGTTTTGGTGGTAGGTTGGTTGGTTTGGTAGTGGTGGTGGTGTATGAGGTTTTGTTTTTTGTTACGAGGAAGGATCTCGGTATACGGTTTAGTCTTTGCTGTCAGGATGTGATGTTAGTTTATCTTCCTCTTGCTCTTTTCAAATTGTAAATCAAAAAAATCGCGCGCTCTCTCTCTCACTCTCTTCAAATTTTTTGCTCAAACAAACATACTCAATTCAGCAAGGACTAAGCTGTATGCTGAAATCTCATAAATGAGCAGCAAATGGTTTTAGAAATTGTTCTTAATATTCAAATATATACGTATATCAAAAAGTACAAACTAAAATTGTGTGTTTTGAGTTTTGTAGTGGAGGAATTTGTTGGATATTTTGCAAAATAGATTTGGATGGGGAACATTTTTTTTTTTTTGAAAAGGTGTTCCCCCTTAGATTTGTTTCATGGCGGCTAATTTTTTTCGGATTTTTTTGTGGTTTGCCTTGATTAAACCTGAACTGGTTTCTTACGATAATAATAATGGCAAAACATTCGTTTGTATAAATATGGTGGATTCGTACCGGTTGCTGTACCCTGCTGATCCATTTGTCGGCGATCATTTTGTGCCTGACGCTGTGAATAGGCAGCAAATGAACGTTCCTGGTCGGGGGTCTGAGGCATTGTGGCTGCCTCGTGATCCAAAATGTACAGCTCATCGACGGCAATGTCACAAATGTAATGGAGATGCTCCTGGGCCCGGTCGATGCGGAAATAATGTTCGGCGGTACAGGCTGTGAAAAAAGTGTGAATAAAATATTATTTCAGATTTCTTTTTTCTGTCTGTTCTGTTATGAAGACTTACAATCAATAAAACACCAATCCTGTGAGACCTTTGGATAATGTATCGATTCCTCAAAACGTTGGGTCAATACATTGCGCACATATTCGAGATCACATTGGGATTCAATTTCGATTTTACCCAATTTATTGGCCAATTTCCTTAGCATATCCTTTTCGTAGTGGTATTTTTCATATTGATCCATGGTAATGCGTAGAACGGTCAGATTTAATACCTCCAAGGGATTTACTCTGGAAAAAGAGAGAAAAAAAAAACAAAGAAATGAGATTAACTATCCTGAAAGAAAAAAGTGTCCTTTTCATAGAAAAAGTCATCCGGGGCTGTGGAAAAATTCTCTATAGAAAAAGGAGTCCTAAGCGAACAGAGGATTTTTTTTATAGAAAAAAATCTTCGGGTCCCTGAGGACATTTTTCTATTGGAAAAAATCCATGAGGACTTTTTTCTATAGAAAAAATCCTCGGGTCCATGAGGACCCTTTTTTCTATAGAAAAAAATTCCTCAGGCCGCTGAGGACTCTTTTTTCTATAGAAAAAAGTGCTTCCGTCCGCTGAGGACTCTTTTTTCTATAGAAAAAAATTCCTCAGTCCTCTGAGGACTCTTTTTTCTATAGAAAAAAAATTCCTCAGTCCTCTGAGGACTCTTTTTTCTATAGAAAAAAATTCCTCAGTCCTCTGAGGACTCTTTTTTCTATAGAAAAAAATTCCTCAGTCCCCTGAGGACTCTTTTTTCTATAGAAAAAAATTCCTCAGTCCTCTGAGGACTCTTTTTTCTATAGAAAAAATTCCTCAGTCCTCTGAGGACTCTTTTTTCTATAGAAAAAAATTCCTCAGTTCGCTGGGGACTCTTTTTTCTATAGAAAAAAATTCCTCAGTTCGCTGAGGACTCTTTTTTCTATAGAAAAAAAATCCTCAGTTCGCTGAGGACTCTTTTTTTCTATAGAAAAAAAAAATCCTCAGTCCGCTGAGGACTCTTTTTTCTATAGAAAAAAATCCTCAGTCCGCTGAGGACTCTTTTTTCTATAGAAAAAAATTCCTCAGTCCGCTGAGGACTCTTTTTTCTATAGAAAAAAATTCCTCAGTCCGCTGAGGACTCTCTTTTCTATAGAAAAAAAACCCTCAGTCCGCTGAGGACTCTTTTTTCTATAGAAAAAAATTCCTCAGTCCTCTGAGGACTCTTTTTTCTATAAGGAAAAAATCCTTATTTCGCTGGGGACTCTTTTTTCTATAGGGAAAAAAATCCTCAGTTCACTGAGGAGTCTTTTTTCTATAGGGAAAAAAATCATAGGGTCCCTGAGGACATTTTTTTTATTTAGGAAAACATTTATTCAAATTGCTGACCATTATTTTTTCTATAGAAAAAATTGAGGATTCCTTTGTTGTCCCCAATATTGATAATTTCATGTCATTCATTGACAAATTAAAAATTCCTAATAAATTGTTTTACCGTTACCATGTATGTATGCGTGTGTGTGATTACACACATACATGGACGTAACGTGGAAGTATGTGTCCGTTTTAATTAAGTTTTTCAAATTGATGATGCTGCAGGGAATATATATTACATGTCAAAGTCCTCTTGGAAGGAGGAGAAGGTGGTGGAGGGGGTGTGAATGCCAGGAAGATTGAGGATGTTAAACATCTACAAGTCATCTAACTGTGGGATAACCACTTTTATTGCATGTTTTCACACACACAGCGAGACACACATGATTGCTACTGCAATGTCTTGAAAATTGACCTGAATTAAGAGATTTCTGTGGCACAACCACCAACCCACACACAGACTCACACATACATACACCCTCATAGTCATCCATATACTTGACACATTTCAAATGCAATAAGGCCAACAGCAACAACAACAAGTAGTCGGTATTCCCATTTGATATTTTGGCATGAAAGGCAATAAAGTTTTTTCTGCTTCTTCTCTTATGGACCAAGAAGAAGAAGCATCACACATTAACACCCTCCTCCTCTCTTTGAGTATGATTTTCATGTGTTTATTCTTGTACTTACTGGACATCGGCCGGATGCCGACTCTTACGTTTGGCCAACATAACGGCCTTATTCAACAATTCCATTTCTATGATGGAGGGTTTCACCCGACACGCCTCCCCATCCACTTGCATCGGTATGGTCTTTCGAGTGGTGATACGTGCCGTACGACACTGGCAGATGCAGGTGCCATGGAGACCGGCCTGCAACATTGGCAATTGATAGGTGGTCAGGCCAACAACTTCGATGAGGCCATCATCAATGGCCGGTTTTGATTGACCAAAGGAATCATTCCAGGGATGGGTGCCACCGCCATAGCTGAAAGAACAACACAACACAGTTAATAATAACTCTCAACAATTTGTCCATCCCCTGTCTCGCTTACCTTGGAATATTCAAAAACAATACCGCATGACAACCGGCATCCTTCAGCTTCGGCGTATAATCCGTGCCATCACATTCCAATGTCACCCATTGTGATAGGTTACGATATTGACGTAATATCAAATCTTTACCACCCATTTGTCCGTAATACATTTTATTACGCAGCCGTGAATTGAACCGTTCCGGATGAGCCTCGCGTGCTTCGTGAAATTCCAACGCAATATGGGCATCGACACCAAATGAAAAATAATTATTGATGACATTCAGCGGTACATTGTCTTTACTCTTATCGACATTATCATCTTCAACATCTTCATTGGGTGTAACCTTCAGACGCCAACGATCCATGAGGACGCATTGTGACATACCGATTTCTTTAAGGATTTTACCAATCGGCTCATCGGTGTAACCCTAGTAGAAAACAAATTATTAATTTATGGATTTTATTCACTTTAAATCTCTAAATACTTACACCTCCCCATCCTAGGGCTCGAGCCAAATCGTTACCGGTACCCAATGGCAAAACACCCACAGAAGGTGGTGGCTGAATGGGCGGATTCAATTGATCCAAAACGGAAAGGACCCATCCGACGGTACCATCACCACCACACGCCAAGATACGTAAGTTGGGGGCCTTGCGGAATAGTTCGAGACTGAAAAATACACGAAAAGAAAAATTTGAAAATTATAATTAGATTTTTTTTTTTATATTTTTTTAAATACAATAAATTTTCAGCCAAAGATGGGACTGTAAAAAATTGAGTGCAAATTATTTGACCTGAAAAAAAATGTCAAACAAATTTTGTTATTTTAATTCGCCGTAGGTAGATAAAAAGAGAATTTAAATTTAAAAACAAAAACAATGCGTTTGCTTTTTATTGAAATTAAAAAAAACCAATAACATAAATCTGGAATATTGGACTTAAATTTTTTGCGGAGCAAAACTATGCGGTGATTATCTTATACTTCAGCCTCTAACAATACCATAGTTATGACCTTCATAGAAAATGAAATAAAGTTATTGGTCCATTTCAAAATATCATTGCCAAAACTATTGGTTTTGAACCAGAACGGAATGAACATCATAACTTAATGAAGTACAGATGGATGCACACAGATATGACTTGAATTTCAGTTGATACAACAGATAACATAAGAACAAACTCTACCCTTAAAGGAGATGAAATTTAAACAGAAAAAAGATAGTGGATTCTACACCCAGAATATTTTGTCCGTATTTGTGAATCTTGGAGCAGTTAAATTTTGCTAAATTTCCGACACCGAAACACGTTTTGTATGCCTTTATCATGGTATATTTAAATTTGTTTCGAATTTCATTTGGAGTCCATGGAATGCATTAAAATTCAAGTATAAATAGTCAACGCCCGGTTCCGTTCCTAAGTTCTTCATTGAATTTAAGTCGCGGTTTGATGTTCTTTTTCAATCACCAATCTGAATTTGCACAAACATTCATAATTTTAAAAATTACTAAAAAGTAAACAAATATTTTTAATATTTCAAAATGCTGAATTCTGAGGTTTAATGAAATTCGCTTCAAATTTGATATGTTACGGCGAATCAATTATTATTTGCCTTGTTAACTATTTTGACATATCATGTTCCCAATTCGCCGATGCGGCTACCTTATGTATCTACCTTGGATGGGACTGTAAAAAATTGAGTGAAAATTATTTGACCCGAAAAAAAAGGTTCCAAAGAAAATTAGACCTTAAATGGCATTTATTTACAGAAGTTGAAAATGTCTTTGAAGACAATTTTCCAAATGGGCCCTTTTTTGTATAGAAAAAAATTCCCAGACCGCTGAGGACTCCTTCGTTCTACAAAAAATCCCTAGAACGCTGAGGACTTTTTTTCTACAAAAAGAAAAAAAAAAAAAAAAAAAAAAAAACAAAATCGCCAATTATGAGGACTTCTTTTTTTCTATAGAAAAAAAAATATTTGAAGAAAAATGTTCCAAAGAAAATTAGATCCTTAAATGACATTGAAAATGTCTTCGAAGACAATCGCAAAATAAATGGCAAAATTTTAGATCCTTAAATAACATTTATTCGAATTCGGCCTCTTTCGGATCCTTATGTGGGTCCTTAGAGAATTCTTATGTGGGTCCATATCCATTTGCCCAATCCCTTAAATTTTGCAAACAATCTCCAAGAAGACCCGAAAAAATAGCAAACTTTTAGACCCTTTAATAACATTTAAAGGATTTCAGGTTTTGGTAAGGTGAAAAGTAAAGAAAATTTTATATATGGGTCCATGCCCCCGTGTAGAGGTTGTTCTGTCATATGTTCATTATTTTGAAGCTGTATTTTGGTATTAAAGTTTTTGGAGGGTAACATTTCTTTGCAGAACCTTTTCAATACTGGTTCATTTTTTATAAAGATACCGGCTAAATTCGTTATTTTAAAGTTTTTAATCGCAGTTTCCCACTGAAGTGGATGTATTTTGCCATTCTGTGTTCTTGGAGGGTGGAAAAACTTTGCAGCAAATTTTACAGATCGCATTTATGATCCGATTTGGATGAAATCTCACACAAGTCACTTGTTTGGCACAAGGACGAACACTATTGAAATTGAATTGAAATTCGGTTCAGATTTAGATATAGCTGCCGTATATAGTTTTGTCCGATTTAAGGTAAATGGGACCAAAGTCGATATATATATTTCGATTTGAACGAAATTTGGCATAGCGTACTGAATTGAGTCTAGAATGATGTGTGGTAAGTTTCGGGAAATGATTTCGATATAGTTCCCATATATATTTTCGTTCGATTTTAGGTAAATAGTGCATCAAAGTCCCTATATATCCTTCGATTTGCACGAAATTTGGGGCGAATAGGGTAGAATGATGAGTGGTAAGTTTCAGGAAAATATGTTCAGATTTACATATAGGTCACATATATATTTTCATCCGATTTTATATAAATGGTGCACCAAAGTACCTATATACCCTTCAATTTGCACGAAATTGGCATAGCGTACTGAATTAAGTCTAGAATGATTTGTGGTAAGTTTCAGGAAAATAGGTTCAGATTTACATATAGGTCACATATATATTTTCATCCGATTTTATATAAATGGTGCACCGAAGTCCCTATATACCCTTAGATTTGCACGAAATTTGGCATAGCGTACTCAATTGAGTCTAGAATGATGAGTTGTAAGTTTCAGGAAAATCGGTTCAGAATTAGATATAGCTCCCATATATATTTTCGTACGATTTTATGTAAATGGTGCACCAAAGTCCCTATATACTCTTCGATTTGCACGAAATTTGGCATAGTGTTCTGAATTGAGTCTAGAATGATTTTACATTCGTCCGATTTTACATAAATTTTTACGAAATTTTTCACAACGTATCAAATAGGGACTTGAATGACGTTATTGCGTTTTGTTGAAATTGGTGCAAATGCAGCTATAGCTTCCAAATGTATTTCGAACGGGTGTCTGATTGAAATTACATTTTTTACAGTGCGGCGTACCGAATAGCTTGTATCAATTTTGCTATTAATCATTTTCTATAAATTTGTTCCAGACCACAAATAGGCGTGACCTTTTTTAATTTTTTCAAGAACGAAAAGTAGGCTTAGGCTTCCTCTAAAATTTTTTCAAAGACCACAAATAGGGTTCATCCCATGTTTACCATTTTTCAAGGCTTGGGATTTTTTTTTAATTTTTTTTCATGGAGCAGACATAGGAGTAGATTTTTTTATTTTTGTTTAAAGGACCACAAATAGGCGTAGATTTTTTTAATTTTTTCATAAACCACAAATAGGTGAGGACTTTTTTAATTTTTTCAAAGGTCGCAAATAGGGTTAGACTTCCTTTTAACATTTTTCTAGGACGCCAAATAGGCGCAGACTATTTTTTACTTTTTTTCAAGTAACGCAAACAGACGTGAACTTTTTCTTAAATATTTGTTCAGATACCAAACACAGGGATGGCTTTTTTTAAATATTTTTTTCACAATTGTATCAAATTCTTATCTTTATTGTAGCTCAGGTTCTAGAACATTTCAGATTTATTAAAATCTCAGTACTGGGTTTCATTTGCTGGCGATGCCATTTGGTATGTCGCGATAACCCAGCCGATTGTTGATAGATTTTATTACAAATTTCACATTTGTATTTCTTTTCCGGCGAATGCAGTTCCTTGTGGTGGGCCAAGGTTTTGCGATCCGGAAAACTTTCACCACATATAATGCACAAGTGTCGCAGCCTTTGTCGATTCCGCATTTCATTCGAATGGATTTCTTTGTGTGCCGTCAATTGATACGATGATGGAAAACTTAATGCACAATATTCACAGCAATAGGGTTTCTCGCCGGTATGCCGCCTCCGATGAACTACCAGATTACATTTAATCTTTGTTCTATATCCACAATATTCACACATATACGATTCTCGATTGGAGTGATAGCGTCGCTTGTGTTCACTGAGGCGTTTGGGATTTTTAAATCGCCGATTACATTGTGGAAAATCGCAAAGGTATTTGCCAGGCCCTTTCGTGTGCAGCGATTGTAAATGATATTGGAGATTTGCACGAGTTTGAAATAATTTCGAACAATGTTCACAGCTATAGGAGATCTTGAAAAAAGTACGAATTTTAAATGACTATTTTAGATATTCTTATATTTTTTGCTTTACCTTTCCGATCATTTCTGTTTCTTTTACTGTGAAAATCTATGTACTTCGTGGCCTTTTCCGAAGTAAATACTCAATTCAATTGATGCAGCATTAGATTTTTTTTTTGCCAAACAGCGGAACGTACTGACCCAAGTTTTTCGTTTAAATGAGATATTCATTGTTTTCGTCGTGAGAAGAAAAACATCAGAACATCAGCGAAAGAACAAAAAATTGTGAAGGTCTAAATTTAACAATAAAAACATTTATTTGCTATTCTGTGGCGGCTCTTTAGGACCGATACTAAGTGTAATGAAATTAATCAATTCACTTTCGGTGTAAAACAAATAAATTAACTAAGTGGTGACGATTAAAATGTGTGTGGCATTTTTCACATTACACTGTGGGGCAAAATTTGGCTGCTTCTGCAGCCTTATACCCCACAATGTTTATAAAAGGCGAAAGGAAACGAGATAGATAAATGTTCTCTTTTGAGAATATACATAGAACCAATTTTTTAGTCGTTTTATACATGGCCGTCCGTCCGTCTGTCCATGTTAAATTGTAAACAAAGTACAAGTCGAATTTTCAATTCGAATTGGATGAAATTTGTGCGCAGCTCATTTATTTGGCCAAAAGACGAACCCTATTGAAATTGGGAAAAATCGGTTCAGATTTAGATATAGTTCCTATACATATTTTCGTCCGATTTAATGTAAATGGTTCACCAAAGTACCTATATGTCTTTCGATTTGCACGAAATTTGGCATAGTTTCGGGAAAATAGATTCTGTTTTCGATATAGCTCCCATATAGATTTTCGTCTGATTTTATGTAAATGGTGCACCAAAGTACCTATATATCTTCCGATTTGCACGCAATTTGGCATATTGTATTGAATTAAGTCTAGAGCGATGAGTGTTAAGTTTCGTGAAAATCGGTTCAGATTTAGATATAGCTCACATATATATTTTCGTCCGATTTAATGTAAATAGTGCATCAAAGCCCCTTTATTTTTTTACCCGGGACCACATATAGTGAGATTTTTTAAAAATATTTATTTCAGGGCCGATATATAGGCTAATTTATCTCTATAGAAAAAATAGGTTCTCACGAGTTTTTTCTATAGAAAAAATTGGAACTGAGGTACCTTCGATTTGTTTTCTATTCTAGAGAAAAATAATTTTCTCACGATTTTTTTCTATTGAAAACATTGAGAACTGATTTTTTCCTAGGTTCTCACGAAATTTTTTCTATTGAAAAAACTGGGAATCTGAGGTTCTTTCGAAGTGTTTTCTCTTCTAGAGAAAAATGATTTTCTAACGAATTTTTTGCTATAGAAAAAAATTGAGAACTGAGGTGCTCCCGATTTTTTTTCTGCGTATATATACAGATAGTTTTTTTTCGAGTGTAGTTTTAAATTGGTCTTGAAAAATTTGTTAACACCCTGCATGTGAATTTGTTTGATTAACATGGTCAAACATTTGGTACAATGTTTTGGGTTTTTTTTTGGGGTTTCTCACAAAATGAATTATAAAAATGTTGTTTTGCTACATTTGTTGTGCGTGGCGGGTAATTTGTAAAAAATAGAATTGTTTTTAAAAAGTTTGGTTAATGAATAATTTGACACAGTGTTTTAATTTAGGAAAAATGTTTTTGTTGTTATTGTTAACCTGTGATGTATTATTATACCCATCACCACACTGTAGTACAGGGTATTATGTATTTGTGCATATGTTTGTAACAGGCAAATGGAAACGAGATAGACACATGGTTCCTTTTGAGAATATGAATAGAATCACTTTCTAAGTCGATTTATGCATGTGCGTTAAGTCCCTATCTATCCTTCGATTTTCACGAAATTTGGCATAACATACTGAATTATGTCTAGATCGATGTGTGTTAAATTTCGTGATAATCGGTTCAGATTTAAATATAGCTCCCATGTATATATTCGTCCGATTTTAGGTAAATAGTGCACCCCCGTCCCTTTATATCCTTCGATTTGCACGAAATTTGGCATAGCGTACTGAACTGAGTCTAGAAAGATGAGTGGTAATTTTCGGGAAAATCGGCTCAGATATCGGTATATCTCCCATTTATATTTTGTATGTAAATAGATCCTATATAACTATTGGTATAATTTTTTATCTTAAGTACTCCTGCAATACTTATTTCCAAAACTAATTTCAGAATTCCAGCACGCTTCACAAAATTTTGTATCATGTAGAACACATTAGTATGAATTTCCAGTTTCCTAAATTCAAATTCGAATATTCCAGCTCTATCGGTTTATGGTAGCACCTTTTGTGCCGTTCTAGTACGAATTTCCAAAAATCCAGCCCTCACCCAAACCCTCACTCCAAATTTCAAGATTCTGGATCCAGCCGTTTCGTGTGGGCGTTGATGAATCGTTAAGTCAGTCAGACATTACCCTTTTATTAGTATAAACTCCACCCGTATATACTCAAATTCGTTTAGAAAATAATCATAAAAAATTACGATATGGCTCGGATAGTCTGTGAATAAATAATCTTTAAAAATCTTCGCATTTGGCTACGATTATACCATAGAAAATGTTCCTTAAAAGTGTTCGCTCATGCCTCTGAATGTCGTGGAGAAAAAATGCGAAAAAAATATTTTGGACTTTACATTTATGGCCCTGAGAGCCCCTAATAAAAATTGTAAAAAATCAACCAAAGGCCCAAAGGGAATACTCTTTTAGTAAATAATCATTACAAACGCTTACGGCCGTAGATTTAAAAATCCATTGTTATGGGCTCTGATAGTTCCTGAGAAAACAATCATTATAAATCTACGCTTGTTTTTTATCTGACAGTCCCTGAGAAAATAATCGTATAGCTCTTATGGTTCCTTAGAAAATAATCTTTAAAATTATACGCTTATAGCTTTGGCAGATGTGTTTTGTTTTGGATCTGACAGTCCCTGAGAAAATAATTGTATAGCTCCTATGGTTCCGTAGAAAATAAGAAAGTAATCATTAGAAATCAACGGATTTGTCTCTGATAGCCTCTAAGGAAATACTATTTTAAAATATACGGTTTTGGTTCTCCTGGAAGTGTTACATATATCAACTTCTTGACGTCGAATAATTCCATTAAATATATGTTTTAGGTTCGTTGGTGCGTATGACATAACACAAATCATACGGCACCTATTACCAAATTAATATGAATTATACGAGACCATGTCTTAGTTAAATATTGGTTTTTCTCGAAACTACAATTTTACTCTAACAAAATGTCTGGGAATAGAATAAAAACCTGCTTCTGATGTCCATGGGGGAATATAAGAGATAAAAATTAATAATTTATAATAAATCTTTTTGCTCTGCATAGAAACAAGAAAATGTATTATTCTGTTGTAGCTCAGAAAATATTTTTAAAGATCCGCGGTAATGGCAATTTTGATAGTCCTGAAGAAATATTCTGATTAAAATCAAACCAGATTTCTTTAAATTCTCTTATTATTATTAACCTTTTGTATTATTTTGACAGAAAATAGTTTAGCTGATGGCTTTAATTTCTTTGTTTTTTTATTATAAACTTATTTTACTTACCCAAATTTCGGACCACCCTGTGTCAAATCGAATACTTGTCGTGGATTTAATAAATGTTGAAATTTCCCCAGTAATTTGACACCTTGATTACCACCCGATTTCGGATTGATATACACAATGACGGGTATAACTTCTGTCGAGGGTATGGGTTTGACAATGAATGCTCGCTGATCCTTCTTGTCGTCCTTTTTGCCACGTTTACTGGCCACTCGAGCTTTTTTATCCTTGGCATTTGGCTGGCCCTTGTTGTTGACACGAATCGATGATTTGAAATTACCCTTGGTGGGTAATTTGACAATCCATGATGGGGGCACAATAATGGGGGCATAATTACCTGAAAGGAAGAAGTAGATAAGGAGATTAGATGTTTTCTTCCGGATTATTTTGCAATATGCCCTTTAAAAGTATTTCTCTTTCTTCTTGTGTTTATTTTTAAAACATTTCAAGTGTAACAGAATGATGTTGTCATTGTGGATATTGAATCTTAACGATTGGTGGCGTTCGTTCATGCAGCAACACAACACATTTCTATTTTATTATTATTATTGTGATCTGAAGTGTTGCAACCAACTGCACTGCACTCCAGCTGCAATCGGTATGTGGCAGTTTTGATTGGCATTAAGTGGGCAACTCATGCCGTTTCAAGTATTCCCTTTTTATACAATGTGGAGTGTGTATAGAGAGAAAGAGAGAGAGGGGAAGGAGATAGAGAGCCAGGCCAACCACTGTCATCATCATTGACATCACACGGTGATTGTAAATGATTATGATGCTCCTCCATTTTGTCACCACATAACAATCAGCATCACATCAAATGTCCTCTACAATCACTGGGTTACTAAGCATTTTGCACAGAATGTCAATGGCGGGGTGGGAAGGAATATAGCAAGGAATACAGCGAGGAAAACTTTTGAAAAGTACTAAAGAGAAAATCATTTGAACATTTCGATTATTGGAAATCCATTAAGACGTTGATGGCTTGTAGTTGTTTCTACATATATACTTCATGGTCAGAGCTGAGGACATCATCTTTAAGTAACAGTTTTGTAAATAAAATTAATTTTTGATGGCGGAAAAGCTTGAAGGTCTTAGATATTAAATAAAAAAGAAATAGAAAATTTATTTTATTTTTTGAGGTAAATGGAATTTCAAAATTTATTGAGGCTTATCGAATTCCAAATTATAGGCCTCTATTAGTAAATTTTTGTGTATTTATTGCAATTCTTCAAAATCCAGTTTCGTCGAATTCATGGTAGATTTTTTGAATTTGAAAAATGCACGCTTATGGCTCTAATAATCACTGAGAATACGGCTCTGATAGTTCCTGAGAAAATATTCTTTACACAATCCACGCTTATGAATCCGATAGTTACCGAAGAAATGTTCTTAAAAAATTTACGCTTGTGGCTTTGATATTTCTAGAGAAAATGTTCTTTAAAAATTTCCAAACATGGGGTCTAAGAAAATATTCATTAAAAAATTATGTTTATGACAAGAATAGTCTATGAGAAAATATTCTTGGAAAAACCACCCTTTTGAAGAATATTTTTTGCAGAGCCATGAGAAAAAAATAAACATGTACTCCTATAGGTATGTTAGTCCGTGAGGAAATATTATTTAAAAGCTCTAATGACCCCTTAGATTAAATTAACAATTAAAAAAATCGCGAGAAAAAATCTTTAAAACTTCAAGCTTATGGTTTGGATAGTTCCAGAGAAAATAGTCCGTGAGAAAAAATCTTTAAAAAATCACGCTTATGGTTCTTTAAAAATCTCCGCTTAGGTATCTAATAATCCCTGAGAAAATATTCTTGAAAAATCCACGCTTAAGGATCTATCAGTCTGTGAGAAAATATTCTTGAAAAAACCACGCTTAAGGATCTATCAGTCTGTGAGAAAATATTCTTGAAAATCAACGCTTAAGGATCTATCAGTCCGTGAGAAAATATTCTTTAAAAAATATACGCTTAAGGATCTATCAGTCCGTGAGAAAATATTCTTGATAAATCCACGCTTAGGTATCTAATAGTCCGTGAGAAATTATTCTTTAAAAATCCACGCTCAAGGATCTATCAGTCCGTGAGAAAATATTCTTTAAAAACCCACGCTTAAGGATCTAATAGTCCGTGAGAAAATATTCTTGAAAAATCCACGATTAAGGATCTATCAGTCCGTGAGAAAATATTCTTTAAAAAATATACGCTTAAGGATCTATCAGTCCGCGAGAAAATATTCTTGAAAAAATACACGCTTAAGGATCTATCAGCCCGTGAGAAAATATTCTTTAAAAACCTTCGCTTAGGGATCTAATAGTCCGTGAGAAAATATTCTTTAAAAACCTTCGCTTAGGGATCTAATAGTCCGTGAGAAAATATTCTTCAATAATCCATGTCTATGGCTGCGATATTTTCTCAGAAAATATTCTTTAAAACCCCACGTCTATTGCTGCGATAATTTCTGACAATATATTCTTTAAAAATCCACGCCTAAACCAATGCGTATGACTTCTAACATAAATCATTACCATATTAATATAAATTATACGTTACAGTATTTTGATAAGCTTTAGTCAGAATTTAATATTAGGTTGGGGAAAAAGAAATACATTATGAAAAAATGATCGAAGTTGATCGGTCCAGCAGCTAAAAATCTACCATAAAACTGTTTTAATTATTAACAAAAAGAAGCTCGATGTTTCAGAAAAAATATAGGATGGATCGGATTTTCATCTGCGAAGCCTTGGTCAAAGGGAATGAGATAGACCCATTTCTTAAACAGATGATGACTAGAGATGAGAAATGGATCACATGCGATAACCCTGTGCGAAAACGATCGTGGTCAAATAGCGGTGAAGCACTTCAAACAGTGGCCAAACCAGGGCTAACGGCCAGGAATGTTCTGCTATGAATTTTGTGGACAGGAAGGGGATTTTTATTATGAGTTGCTTCCATATGGCCAAACGCTATATTCTGATCTTTACTGTCAACTAATGGACCGTTTGAAGATAGCAGTTGACCAAAAACGGCCAGAATTGGCCAACAGGTGAGGTGTCGTGTTCCACCAGGACAACGCTAGGCCACACACATCTACAGCAGGCATGCTCGGCCATATATGCTACCGTAACTGGGGGTCGATGGGTAAACACATATTCTCTTTCTTTCTCTTTACGTCAGTCGTTTTTAATGGTGAATTCTCAGCTACACTCGCACACACTTGCTCTCAATTTAGTTTTGCCCAACACGGATCTACAGTGATTGGCCAGAAACTTCGGGAGCTTTGTTGGGAAGTTTTAATGCATCCGCCATACAGTACGGACTTGGCACCAAACGATTATCACCTTTTTCTTGCATTGCAAAATGTATTTAATGATAAAAAAATTGGTACCTAAGGAGGATTGTGAAAATCGACTACTAGAGTTTTTTTTTTTGCAAATAGAGAGCATGACTTCTATGAGGTATGCATTATGAGGTTAGCTTTAAAATTACAACAAATCATACAACAAAACAATGTATATTTTTCTCAAATCGGACATTCCGAAGCATGTTAAATAAAGTCCTATAGTTCATATAAAAATAATTGATTTATTTTCCCCCAACCTAATATCTTCCATTTATTTAAGGGGTTTATTTTCATCATTAAGCCATACAAGGTAGAAGAAATATACGAAATAGCTTCTGGACAATTTTTTAAAATCAGAAAAATATATTTTAAAGGCTTTCATTAGGTGGTAGACCTTCGAAATTTATTTATTTTTTTTTTTTAAATTTAAAGTATTGATACCCTCTTATCTGATGTCCCTTGCTGCGTATGATTTATAAAACATATCATACGCCACCCGTTATCATATTAATATTAATTTTACGCATCCTTGTTTTTTAGTAAAATATTCATTAGTTTTGCTAAAAACTTTTATTTTTTATTTCCAAATATTTTTTGACACCAAAAAATCACCTCCATTTCTTCTTATATTTTTGTTGCATACAAAATGCATTTTTGTGTGTGTGTGGTGTGAGGTTTTCAAAAATTCGTTTTGTTTATTCATGGAATATGTAAACATGACCATCCAAAAAAAAAATAGAATAGTTTTGTCACTGTTCATCAATTCCGTCATGGAGTGAAACGAGCTAGAAGTGATGCACGATCTAAACTTATGCACAAATTTTCAAAATCAAAGGACTTCTATTTTATTTTCATAAATAAATGCATCAATAGTTTTAAAATCTTATAAAAAATATACATTAATCATTTTCAAAATCCATTAAAACATATATTTGAGGTCCCTTGGTGCGTATGACTTATAACACAAATCATACGCCACACCCGTTGTCATATTAATATTAATTATACGAAGCCGGGGTTTTAGAAAAAATATTCATTAGTTTTGCTACAAAAAATCTCATCCATTTCTTCTTTTTTTCAAACAAAATGCATTTTGTGTGTATGGTGTGAGGTTTTCAAAAATTTGTTTAGTTTATTCATGGAATATATAAACATGGTCAACGACAAAAACAGAAAAAAAAAACAACTTCTGTCATTTTTAATCAATTCCGTCATAGTGGGTAGCCAACTAGAAATGATACATGCACATACATGCATCACTATTGTGATACTGAAAACTCCAACAAAACACAAAAAATTGAAATATTATCTCATAGAATTTTAAATATCAAATTAACTTAGAAGCATGATAGTGTCATCATATCCATTCATCCATCCATCTAGCACATTCCGACACATCGCACACATTAAATTTAGTTTGATTAGCTTTTGCACAGACTGTGTGATTTTTCTTTCCAGTTACCAATTTCAAATCCCTGGGGGGAGTAATCAACAAAACTCTAGGATATCAAACATGCGGTTGACGGTGGGCGTCAATGGTGATGAGAGATCATCACCAACATCGTTTGCATAGTATGCATTAGTGTCATTATTGTCATAACATGTCACAAAACATGAACACATACACTCACACATATTTATACTCCCACATTGAATTAATATCACACATATTTCTAGTTCATATCTAGTGTGAAAATAGTATTTCAAATGCGAAGTGATTTGATGACTAGTGATGGTCGTCATCATCACTCAACCATCTATTATTGAGTGTGAAACGTGTGGCGTCAAGTCCATGCATTCTTTAACATTTGATTAAATTATAGTTGCGTGGATCTTTGGATCACATGTGGAGTAGATAAAATAACTTCCAAGGATATTCTACGTATAGAGAACTATGTGCATTAACAAATTGACTTTAAAAAGCCTCTTAAATATGAAATCAAAGACAAAATAATTGCTACGGATTTTTCCAAAAGATATTTTTAAAATCTTACAA